ACCTGTTATCATATTCTAAAGATTAGCCAAAAAAAACTTAATATTTATTTGTTTACTTTATTAAACATTTCTTTCAACGCGCGCATTGGTAAAGCTTACATTACGCATAGTCGAAATTATAAAATTGCAATCAGAAAACTATTTGATGTGTACTCGTGATATTTATAATGACGAGGAATTTGATTTAAATCATATCAAAGATGGAATACATTGAGATGAAATACTATATTTAGTAAGGAATTATAAGCTGAATAAAGTAAAAACATCTGCCCTGAAGATAAGGATAGTGCTGACAGATCAACTTCCAGTTTATTGCATGCCACGATGCCCCCCCCCGCAGAGCAGCACGAAATTGATAAACAGATTTCAGAATGGTTAGAGAAACAAAGGATACGCCTTTATCCATTTTTTGCAGCAATTCCACTTTTTCTTTGGTGGACATCGAAACATTCTTTCGCTTTGTAGATTCTTTGGCAGCTCCAGCATCGGAAATTCTATTTGACAAAATTGAAAGTTCAAGCTTACTTTTATAAAATTGCTTTAACAGTCTGCAAAAAATAATAAGCCGGATCCAATTCGAAGATTAAGGAAAAACGCAATCTGCAACATTAACTGAAATAGATAATTTTAGCTTAGCTTATACCGTCTGTCATACATTAAATGCGCATGCATAAACGTATTATGCGCATGCACACACGCATAAACGTATTACCCGAATGCACACACGCATAAATGTATTATGCGCATGCGCACACACGCAAGCGTAAAAGTATTACGTGCATGCATAAACGCCTATGCGCACGCGTGAACGAATTATGCGTTGCCGCATGCGCAGAAAGTTTGTAGCTTTGAGGTCCGGATTATAGATCCTTCTGGATTATGGGTGCCCGGATCAACGACTTTTGACTGTATATGACAATTCAATTTTGGGAGCTGGGGGAACAGCATTAGTATTGGTCCTTTTGGGCAGTTTTTGATATGGCGACAAACTTCTGTTGGCAAGGTAGACTCGGCTAAGAGCGGAAAAAAATGTCGGATTGTAAATAAAACCCAATCTAGACTAAATAACAATCCTAAAAAATAAGCTCTTGATTAGAATAGTCTTTCTCTAATTTTCAACAAATTGCAAAAAACAGTCTTTCTTTAATTTTAACATTTCTAGTACAGTCATGATAAATTCTTGAAAAACTGCCATAAATAAATATGTTACGAGTAATGAAATTTACAAAATATTTAAAAATACAAAATATAATAGTAATGTATTAAATATTAATATTTTAAGTTGTTAGTTAATATTTATATTATTTTATATTAGTATTTTGCTAATATTTTAAATTTACAAAAGGTTAATAAGTGCATTTCAAACTAGTATATGTTACTTTAGTTTCTTAGTTTCTGGTATTAAAAGGAAATAAAAAATATTTCAGATTGAAGGAAATCAAATTAAATTATAACGAGTAAATTTTGTACCAGTGCTAGAAAATACTTTTAATGAATTAAATTTTGTAAATGGTAAAAATATTAGGTACTTTTCTGTTTTGTCGGCGGAAAACTCGCCAAGCAGACTTTATTGGCGACAACACACGGTATACACATAAAACATGTTAAATATTAGTTTTAAGGAATTTTTATTTTGAAGGCATAACATTTTAATATCATTAAAAATTTTTGTAAAAAGGCAATAAATAAAGACAATAAATTTGTAAAATAAAATTAATTTAAGAATTTACTATGCTTTCATGGTACAGCATCCTGATTTGCCGATCTTTGTTCATATCACGCGACTCCAGGTGATCTCATCTCACATAAACTAAGCTACAAAAATCTAATTCTCTCATTAATTTCAAGTTACCCAGTTATTAGTTCCTTCTACATTAATTTCAAGTTAAATTTTAATATGGAATAGAAGTTTAAATGCAAGAATAATTTTATTCCTACGAATAGCTTCCTCAAAAATTATATAAAATAGCAGTGCTTTACTTCGCTAGTGCATTCGCATTAGAATTGATTGAATTTAACAATTTACTTTGTCTTTTCTGTATTTTCGACTTCAGATGAGTGGTATGATTTGCATCCTAATTGACTTAACTACCGCAAATGGCCGTAGGGCATAAAATTGAACTATCTGGTAAAAATTCTATGCAATCTTATGCCAGTACTGAAAGGAACATTTAATTTGATAAGAAATGGCTGCGACTTGTTTACAAAATGAGGTGTAAAAGGTTACCAGCAAGGATATTCCGTTTGACATCGGTTGTACCATTTTCGGCGACTTTATCGCTCGCGCGCCGGCAAAACGAAAAAGTAACAAATATTAAAAAGTGTGTATTTTTTAATCAATTTATTAAAGTAATTTATGATCATAATTTAAAAGCTAAAATTATCATAATGAGTAAATTTTGTACCAATAGTAATAATACACAACAAAAATTATCATAATTGATGATTTCTGTTAAAGATTCGAACAGTCGTTGGAATCCATGAGTGGTGGAGCGATAAGCTACTGAACACTGGTAGTTCAGGTTGGCTATATGGGATCTTTGTGGTTTTCCTTACATGTAATTTGAATCTGAGCCAGTTTCTCTTAAAAAGTCCTTTATGAGAGCATCCTTCTTCTGCTAGGCTGCATATATATATTTATTTTCTATTCACAAATACCGTTTTCTCTTTTTATTTCTAAGTGAAGAAGTGTTTCATCTATAGGCTGAAAAATATAGTCGATATGTTTGCAAAATCCTGTTCAGTTTTGGACAGCATTTAAATAAAATAAATAATTTGTATATGATGCAAACAAAAATGCATTACACTATTTCATGTAGTGAATAATTAATCAGGGAACAAAGTATAATGCAACATTCCTTTATTTTGTAATTAGAGTTACTTTATGATTGGGATCTTTACTGTCAATTCCCCATCAGTTTTCCCACCAGAATCCAAATAAAGTTTTTAGTTTGTAAAACAAACCGGTTTTGCCTTTCGAGGCCATGTTACTAGGTTGCTAGATAAGATATAAGATTTGTAGTCTTCAGTCTTGCATTATAATTACTGATAGTTGAATTCCATGCTGGTTAAGTTTTGAACCAACTTTGCATTAAATTGATTTGTGTAGCCTTTGGATACAAGCTTATTTGAATTTAAATTTTACATTTGAACATAATTGTTATCATAAGTTATCTTGTCACAGTGGTTGACTGAGTGGTAAGCACAAAGTATGCCTTCTGTTCTGTACATCTAAACTTTATGATAGAATAAGAGTGTATCTTAATTTAATAAGAATATATCTAAAATTTTATAATAATTACATTTAAAGACATTGAAATCAGTATCTAAGTGCTTGCTATGGAGTCAAATTTTTATATATAAACTGTATTTGGATTTCTGTTAGATTAAATGTTTAAATAATGTAGAAAATTTGCATGAAATTTAAAATAAAAAGTCGACTGTTATGCCAACATACTATTAATAAAAAGTAATAATACTCAGTGAAGGTTATTCATATATTTGATTGCGAGATTTACAAAATTTGAGAACTGTAAATTATAAGCAATTTTCATCCGCAGAGAACCCGTTGGCGCCGTTGCAATTTTTACTCACCAAGGGATGAGCTGAGCCGTAAACGTGATTTTTAGTGCATGTAAATTAAAATTAGCAGACAAAACAAAATATTAAGCATATGGATGTAAAACTAACTGGTTAAACGTGATATACGAAAATAAAGCTGTATTTTTCATAATATATTTCACAATACAAATAACCTTCAATAGCAATCTAATTTTCTTCAGTAGCATTGTTAACAAAACTAGAACTTTATGCATTTTATTACTTTTCAAGAGTAATTTGAACTGTAATCCTTACACCAGCAGTGGTTTGCTAATTTTGATGACCATAGGGATGCATCAAACTACTCTGTCATCTTAGATAATCAATAATATTTTTTATTTCAATTTAATCAGCTATTTATGTCACACCTGCTATCCTCGGAAAGGTTATTGTTAGAAAAGCATTAACACCCGATATAGTACCTTGTTAAAATTTTACGCCATAAAAATTGGAGCCGAGAACCGGCATCTATCGACGAAAACTTCTTTAATTATACGAAAATATTTCTATCTATTCGTTGTTAAAAATTCAGAAAAATAACGTGGAAAATTAGAAAAAATAATAATAAATAAGAGAAGAAGAACATAAATCCGGAAAGGCGAATAACGACAGTGATAATTCAACAAAATGAACGCAAGAGGAATTGTTGCAACATTCAAACAAGCGAATACGATGAATCCGATAGGTTACCAGGTTTGAACTATTATCGTCAAAGTTGGCAATGTTTACATTTACCGGGTTCTCTGAAGTGCTTCCAAAATATTCAACGTAAATTCAAAACTAATCTTTCATAAGTTCATAAAAAACTTAAAAATATACCTAATGTAAACAGAAGTGATATAAAACTCATCGACTTCACAAATCACTCGCTTTCTTAAAATCGCCTCAAATAGCTTGGATGAAAATTATTTTAATCTTAAAATACTATGTCGGAGATCATCATTCGTTAAGTGGTGTTCGACCCAAAGGCCTTTATCACTACATAAATTTATAAAAAAAAATGGGTTTAATCCTAGTATCCGGTGCACACGGGATTTGGCTACTTTTGGAGACTTTATGATGAGCAGTAAAAACCGGACATTGCGATGAGTAATTAACGGGTCATTCAAAGAAAATATATAGTTACACATAGTATATACTATGTATATAGTATACACTATGTGTAACTATATACTATGTATATAGTATATATGCTATGTTATATACACACATAGTATATAGTGTATAGTATATATATATAGACATTCTTTGGATCATTTTTGGTGTTGGCGATAATTTTCAAAGTCGCGCCAAGGCTGCACCGTATACTAAGATTTTACCAAAAAATGTAATTAATTCTGTTAACATTATCAATTTATTAGGAAAAATCTAAAATACATGTATTACATAAAATTTTATACTTTACAACTTCTCGAAGAAATTCTCTTTCGAACTCAAACGAACCTCCAAATGAACAACAAATTCTCTACTCAATCAAAAAAACACAAAACTTACACCAAAGAATACGTATTCATTCTTTGCTTACACTTCACGTGATTCTAAATGTGATTAACCCTGTGTTGCCATATTTAAATTCTAAAGAAAATAATAGGGGAAAAATTACAGATATGAAACAAAGATAGAAAATAACTGTTGAAAAATATTGTAAAAAGCAACAAACTTACATCATCTTATCAGAATTTGTATAACTTAGCTCAATAAGCGATTGCCAGCGAGCACTGGTCGGCGTTAAATCCCCAAACACTACAAGCATCTAGGCCATCAGATGCTAGTTTCCTCCTGATTCCTCCCTGATCATTTGCGCAGATTCACGCACAGCGTGTTTATGTCAGGGAGCTCGGCATGCAGAAAGAAATCAGCTAGCACCGAAGCCACGCGATTAAGTTACGATCATTGTGCGCATTACTCAGTGTAAATTAATTCTTTTATTAGTTTTCTACAGTATTTTTCTTTTTAATTCGAATACATGTTTGATATTGATTTTTGGTTGTTTCTCATTTTCTGTCAAATAATATATTATTTTGATTTGTGTTTTCCCTTTTGCACCATTTTAGTTGTTTAATTATAAATCTATATATAAAAGAATTCCTGATATTTATTCATTCATTCATCTATACATCATCGCCCAAAGCTATTACAGATGCAGATATCAAAACCTAGGAGCTCGTTTCTTGTCTACTGAAGGCGTCATTTAAGAAGAGATTTTGGAAAATTCGGCACCCAAGGGGGGAGAGGTCAAAACATGTTTTTACGTTTTTTCATATAAGGAAGAAACAGATGTACACAAGAGTCTTGCTTTAAAATGTATGGAACATGAATACCTAAAAAGCAATTTCAGAAGTTCGACCCCCCAAGGACCCCTACCCTTGACAATTCGGCCCCCAAGGGGGTAGGGGGGCTGTGGTAATACAATTTTTATTAAGGTAGTACAAATAATTGAGACAGATCGTTAATAATCATAACAATAGACATAGAATAAAATATTTTGTCTTTCACTGTTATGGGTTACCAGACTGGCAGCGTGGAGTTGTAATAGGCAAGTCGCCACAGGAGCAAAACATGTTTTTCACATATTCCTTCATATTTTAGATATCCGTAAAATTCAGTGGTGGATAAGGGCGGTGGCTGGTGCGGCTTCGGGCTGATCAAGAAATTCGAACAATCGAATTGACACTGATGACTCGGCGAGGGAGGGTATGTGCGTAGAATTAATACTTTCTCTGAAAAGTATAAATTCCAATGGTATTCAAAATGCACAGATACGACAAATGGCAAAATCTATTCTGGATAAAATATCAACTTTAGAATAATTTGGATAATTTTGTCTGCTCACTGTATATTTGAAAATATTTTCAATATACTAGAGCCAGTAATGAAATATTTGCAAGACTAAAGGATTAGATTACATCCTAGCATATAATATGATTAGGGAGGTCTGCAAGCTCTTTAGAAAACCATTTCTAGAAACTTCAATTTAATATTTAATGCATCAAAATTGTTTGCAACGGATTGCAATAATAAACTAGAAAGGCTGGGTTGTGATATAATTTATAAAAGAAGAGCTACCTGTTAGAAGATAACCAAAAAGTGAAACAAATGGACGATGAAGAATCGGTCCGACTATAATTTCAATTGCTCTATCAAACAATTCAAAGTTATTGTCTTTAATTTTATATTTGGATAAACGCCATTTAATCGATGGAAAGTAGGTTTAAAGGGCATAGGAAGTTGTATAAAGACATATCACTTCTCGATCCCAAAACTTTTCGAAGCCATTGTCGCCGAACACTTTCGACTATTTTTCTATATTATTAGGGCATTATGCAGCCGTAACAGCTAATTGAAAATTCTTATTGATGAATATCAGGAGTCCTAGTAATTAAATGGTGAAATAGTAAAAAATTCAATTGAAAATCATTATTTCTGAATGTGATATTCGAGCCAGAATGAGAGAGTGCTCTATCTATTTCATGAAGCATTCATCCAAAGCTAGATGCAATTTTTCTTGTGCTTTTGCATATGAGATGGTGGTTCGGTAAATACCATTCAGATACTAGTATCTGTGAAAATTTGAAAACATAGTGCTGATTTTTGCTTATACGTTTGTACCACCCTATCTGAACGATAAATGCGAATAACTTTTTCTGAATAGTATTTGTAAAAAGCTATGTTAAGGTGTGCAATGAAGCAATTATAGATTTGAAGTCATACTGTTGATGGCTAGAAAAGCAAAAAGTTGAAGATATAATGGAGGAAAATATTTGCCCAGGCATCTAGAATTAAAAAATAATTAAATGGCTAATTATGAAATCTAGCCGCTACTTTGTTTTTATAATTATTTAGTCACTGTTATTTCTAGTTTGTAGTTTATTTGAATGTATATATATAATATATATATGATGTATCAGCTTTAGTCGTAGCTTAAATATCAGAGGATAAGTTAAAAAACAGGATCCATTTATTATTATTCAGGAGAAATAGCAGTTACAAAAAATCAGATATACGGAGTAAATAAAAAGAATTACTAATAACTTTTTGTATGAAGTTTACGCATCGTGACATTTAAGAAAAGCCCCGATATTCTTTTGCGAGTCTTTTTATAGCCTCTGGAAAGGCTGAG